CTAACACCTGGCTGTGTTTCCAACGACGGCGTCCAATCAAGTCACTACTGGCATAGATGGCTTGCGGCAGAGAGGCATCGCGCCGCCCCATCAAAAGAAGGTTAGGAGTAATGGGGTCTGGGTCTGCAATGTCTGAAGTGGCATATCCAAGCGGTTTTGAGTTGAGGATACCTTCCACTTCTATGAGGACGGTCAGCAAGACCTCCTCAGGGAGCACTCTGTCTTTAAGAACGACTTGGAGGGCTGCTTTAACAGATTTGATCTCCCTCTCCCAAATACCTCCGAAATGCGGTGCATACGGTGGATTGTATTTGAAGGTGATTCTCTGCTCAGCCAGCTGCTCTTTCAAGGCTGGCTCCAGTACCTCAAATGCTCTCTGCAGTTCTCCGTCGCCCCCCCGGAAGTTAGTGGCTCTGTCGCTTAGGATCTCGTAAGGCTTGCCTCGTCTGGCCACAAAACGTCGTAAGGCAAGTAGGAATGAGTCTGTGTCCATACTGCACAAGAGGTCAAGGTGCACACATCTTGTTGTCAAACATTTGAAAATTATGCCCCACCTCTTCTCTTGTCTGCGACCTATTTTGACAGCATATGGTCCAAAACAGTCGATTCCTGTGGACCAATAAGGAGGTTTATGTAAGCGAAGGCGTGCATCTGGAAGGTCTGCCATACGTGGTACAGTGGGTTTGTTGCGCCATCTTTGGCACTCTGCACAGCTGCGTTGGTGCTTCTTTACAGCTTGGCGCCCACGGAGGATCCAATATGTCCGCCTTATTTCTGCGAACACACGTTCGGGACCAGGGTGCAGCAACTCGGTGTCGTAGTGTTGTATCAGCAGCCGGGTAGCAGGATGGTCAGGCGCTAGGACAATAGGATGTATCATGTCCGGAGAGCCTTCTACCTTCCTCAGCCGACCACCAACACGCACCAAGCCCACCGCGCTGTCATATTCTGGGCAAAGAGAAAGCAGACGACTGTTATTACTGAGTGGCTTACCTGTCTGCAGAGCAGCGACCTCTGCAGCGAAGCTCTCCTCCTGCGCTCGTCTGAGAACTGCAACTTCAGTCTCAATGCGGGCAGAGGCAGTCATCGGAGGAGCAGCCGCCCCGTGTAGGGACAGGTATGTCGCTTGGACCAGTTCAGACCAGGAGTTATATTGAGACGGGTCTGGAGCTGTGGGCGTGGCCGTCACAAGACCACAAAAGGTCACGTCTCGGCTCTCTTCTGGTGGAACAGAGGCAGTAGCTGGCTTAACTGGCCATTCCCTGTGGGGCTGATACAGGAAACAAGGCCCACAGGTCCAGCGGCTGGGTTTTGCCAAGTCACTAAGATGTTTGCCACGCGTGGCATCATCAGCAGCATTGTCATTGGTTGGAACATAGCGCCAATTGTCCGCACCCACCAGCTCCTGAATTTCAGCAACACGAGTCCCTACAAACACTTTGTACTGCTGTGACTCTGACTGGATCCAATGGAGGACAGTAGTTGAATCTGTCCACAGTGTTGTAGTTTCAACGGCAGCGTTAGTTCTGTTTGGATGACCTTTGCTAACTGAGCACCAGCCAGAGCGGCGCACAGTTCCAATCGAGGGATGGAGAGCTGCTTCTTTGGGGCTACTCGGGACCTGGCCAGAACAAAGGACACTTGCAATGCACCTGTAAAGTCATGCTCTGCCCTCAAATATGCAACTGCACCATATGCTCTCTCTGAGGCGTCTGTGAAGATGTGCAACTCCAGTGGCGTGTCAGCTGGGACATTTGAGAGGTAACATCGGGGTATTGTCACATGCTGCAGCTGAGGTAGTTCACTCTCCCATGCCTGCCACACCGGAAGGAGCTCATCTGTGATTGGCTCATCCCAGTCTCTGCCTTTCTTCCACAGCGCTTGAACCAGCACCTTAGCACGGGTTGTGTAGGGAATAAGAAAGCCGAGTGGGTCATATTGGCTGGCCAGCACACGGTACACATACCTCAGAGTGGGTTGAGCAAGAGGAATAGCTCTATGTCTGTAACTGAGTGCATCTGTGCTGCAGTTCCACAGAACGCCCAGAGTAGACTCGAGAGGGTCTTCGTTATGAGCATTGAGCCATAACTCACAGGTGGCAGACTTTGCTTCAGCTGGCAGATGAGAGACAACATCAGGTACATTGGAGGACCACTGACGCATGTCAAAGCCTCCCTGGGCGAGGAGAGCTCTGAGCCTGTCGATGAGCTGTTTGGCCTGCTCTGGAGAGGGCAATGACTGCAGGCAGTTGTCCACATACATAGATTGCAGCACTGTATTGACGATATCCTCATTACCCTCACTGTAGTCCTGAACGTGGCGCTGTAGTGCATATATAGCACAACATGGGCTGCATGTCGTACCAAAGGGTAACACACGCCACTCGCAGACATCAGGACTGCGGTCTCTGTCTCCATCTCTCCACAGGAAACGAAGCAGTGGTTGATCTTGTGGGAGGAGCCTCACTTGATGGAACATGCCTCGAATATCACCGTTGATGGCCACAGTATATTCCCTGAAACGCAGAAGCACTGCAAGGAGTGAAGAACCGAGAGTCGGGCCTGGCATGAGGTTCTTATTAAGGCAGGCCTGTTGATGCACAAAAGAACAGTTAAAAACAACTCTGGATTTATTATTGTGGAAAACGAGATGGTGTGGCAGGAACCATGACTCGTCTGAGTTGTTTACTTCTTCTGGATTGATTTTCACTGAATAACCTGATCTGACTAGTTTGTCCATTTCTTCATTGTAAATAAGCAATTGTTCAGGATTATGTGTGAGGCGGCGCTCGGTGGCTCTAAGGAGAGGCAGGACTGCATTAGATGAAGCCAATAGGTGAGATGCATTTTTCTTTCGCAGGAGGGGGACTGCATATCGACTGACACCATCTACTGTGACCCTAACACTCTGCTGCTCTAGTTGTTCTAGTGCTGCTTTGTCTTCTCCAGAGCGAGTGACCTCTTTGGTGGAACGAAAGGGCAGTGAATCCAATTGCCACAGTCGTTCCACATGTTGATGTAGCTCCTCTGCAGGGGACAGAACTGATACGTGCAGGCAGCTGCTGTCACGATGAGATTGTTGGAGGAAGCTGGCTGGTCCCTGCACTGCCCATCCCAGGGCTGTGCACACAGCGACAGGACCACCAATGGGGCCAGATATGACAGGTTGCTTTGGAATGATGAGATGTGGGTTGTCTGATCCAATGAGAATCAGTGGTTGGACTTTATTAAAGGACGACAGCGGAACGTCCCTTAAATGTCTGTAGCCTCTCTGGAGATGCTCAGGGGAACAGGATTGCTCAGCCAGATTCAACTCTGCAGCTGTAAACGCGTTGTGAACCTTGAATCTCAGTCCATTCTTTGTTGGGGATGACACTTGGAATGACACAGTGGCACCTTTAATTTGGACTACTTCCTGTCTTATTGTCCTTAGAGAGAGTACTTCAGGCTGTTGTTGGAGACCAAGCTGTTGAACGGCAGCAGGCAGGATAACAGTGCGCTCAGAGCCGTCATCCAACACTGCATGTGTGTCCATATATTTACTCCCATTGTATACGCGGACTGGCACTACTTTTAACATCACTCTGCCTGAGTGACTGGCTTGATCGACGAATACCATACTTGAGGTAGTGTTAACAGTCAGGATGCTCTCTGCCTGGGCCACATCATGCAGCACAGGAAGATGTTGTTCTCCGCAGGTAGAACAAGGCTTCTTTAATGTGCAGTTAGCTGGAGAATGTCCTCGGCCACACCTCCAACATTTCTTATTGTCCTTTATCCAAGCTGCCCTGGCTGGATTTGAGAGCTTGGTGAAGTCATCACACCCGTTGAGGTAGTGCTCCTGATTGCAGCAGTAGGGACAGTATGGTTTGAATCTATCCCTCTTCTTTCCTTGCTGTGCACTAGGGGAAGCTAGGCGTGTGACTGTGGGCTGAGTTGATTCATTACTGCCAAACAATACAGCTGTAGACTTGGGCTTCTGTGTTTTGACTGCCCTCCTCTCCACACTACTGGTGTCGTATGAATGTGTCCCTATTCTACGGGATACCTGTAGGGTCTGCACTTTCCTCTCTAGCCACTCAGCTACGTCTGGTAGCGTGTATGTCCTGTCACTGCCACTCTGAATAATACCCCTGCTGAAACAGTACTCAGCAAAGGAATCTCTTAAGTACGGGGGTAGTTTTGTGAGCAGTGTGTCAACATGGGAACCACATTGCAACTCAGATGATGATGGGCCCTGCATAGAACTTAACATGCCTACCAGTGTGCTAACAGCTGCAGAAAAATCCTCCATGCCCTGGTAATCACCTGCTTTAACTGGGGGTGCGGTCAGGATGGATTTGAGCTCTGCCTGCACTAGCTGTCTAGGCTGACCATAACGCTGCTGAAGAGCTAACATAGCACTAGAGTAAGGAGTGGAGCTGTTTATGTATCTCTTTGCTATCTGCAAAGCGGCAGGGAATTTCAAATGATCCAAGAGGACTTGGTATTTGTAATCCTCAGTTAGATGGCTGTGGGGGCTGAGCACACTGTCTAAACCTTTTTTGAGTAACAGAAAATCACTCTCCTTCCCTGAACTGAATGCAGAAAGCTTAGGCTTGGGGATGCCGTATGAGGAGGCAATAGCCATTTCCACCATGCTAGGGACATTAGCACTGACAGGGGGAGGAGCTAAATATTGCTGGCTGACAGGTGCTGTAGGCATACGAGTGCTGTTTGGAGTATATGCAGTGGGATACGCATACTGCTGTCTACTATGTGGATAATAGACAGGTGCACTATATGGATGTGAGGGAGCAGGTGCGCTGTAGGGCGTGCCTTGAGGAGCAACTACATGCGGTGCAACTACACTTCTGTGTGAGGTGTCGTACAGAGGGGGCAACTGAGCTGCTTGAGCGGGATCTACTGGAGGAGGAGGCGGTGGCCAGTACTCACCGGTCTCTGCTCCCTGGACTATACCTGCTGTGTAGTTTGGAGGCACTGCTGGTAGTAAAGGAGCTGTCACTGGTGCTGAAACACTAGCTTGCCCTGTCGGGGAGGATGCTGCACAGGAGCTATGGGTGACAAAGGTACTATGGGGGAAGAATGCCCTGAACGTTCTGATGCATGCCATGACTGAAGAGGCTGGAGCTGTGGCATGCTGCTGTACTGCTGTTGCTGTTCCTGGGCATATCTATGCTTGGCAGGTTGGGCGCTTTGTGTCAGCCGAACGTTGCTCATTTCCGTCTGAAGTTCCCTCATTTGTCGACCGAGTGCCTGATAAGCTGACTCCAAATGCTGCATTCTGTCTTCATCATCATCATGAGAGGATGAAGTTGACCAGCTCTCGGGGCTTTGTGGTGGACGTTGGAATGAAAAGCCAACCTCATAGTCCTCCAGATGTCCGGGAATGCGACGCACTCTGCTGGGACGGGGACTGTGTAGTGGCTGCTCATCATAAAAGTCTCTGGATGCGGCCATGACGCAGCTCTTGGACATCCGGCTCGAAGGACCACTTGTAAAAGATTATATTGTATTTGAATGCTGGGGTCCAAAAGTCCGGCCTAAGTCTTCGGCAAGAAAGACTGCAGCAGATCCAGAGTAGTAGAATGAAAGGTTTATTGCAGCTTGAACAGGTTGGGATGGATGCGTGAAACAAGAGCGTGTGTGTGTGTGTGTGGTTATCTGTGAACACACAAATGTAACATTGGAATTATTATAAAGCCTACAAAGTACACCACAACATGCATATACATTAACAATGTTGATATGAATAAAATTAAACACTATAAACAACGTACAACACAACATCAAATGAATAATTATCATTGTTGCACTTTGAAATGGCTCTGGATACAGTTTTGATGTTATTACAAAGTATGTCCACCAGAGGGCGGTAAAGTGTGCTACATGACGTAAGGCACTGAGTGGACCGCATGGTTAATGGCGATCATGCAGGATCATGCAAGTTTCCAAAGAGATGAAAATGAACTACAAACATATGCTGCTAAGTACACAATGCAAGCTAAAGACAGGACTACACAATATAATGGTGTGGACATACTCACATAGTCATTAAACGCACAACAACACGATGTGAGAAAGCTAAGAGAGAGCACGCTCTTCACTCGTTGCGTATGTCAGTGAGGGGCGAACTGTTCTTAAAGGTACAGTGTCATTGAAGCAGGGAAATTTGCACAACCAAACTGACATAATCCATCACGATGCTTGCCAATGATTTCCAAATATGCTGCTAGCCCACAATGCCCCAGCCTCAATCTAACAATCTTTACCTGATTTGCCCGGCTAGATATCCACACAGGCCTAATATTTTGCACCAGAGGCTGAGAATTAAAATAATGCCTCCCCCTTTTCTCTTTCTCCCACACTTTTTGCCACTGATTTTGCACAACACTTTTTATGATACTTATACACTCTAATTTTTCCAAACAGATTTTATACTCTATTTCCTCACACAGAAGAGACTGCTTAGCCAGTGTATCAGCTCTCTCATTCCCCACTACACCTGAATGAGATGGGATCCAGCGAAATACTACACTAGATCCCCTTGCTTCAAGCCGACGGAGGCAACACAACATCTACAAGATTATATCGGCTCGGGCCCCAGACAGGCCAGCAGATATAGCCTGTAAAGCAGACACTGAATCTGAATAAATATAAGAGGATTCAAAATTATTCCTCTCTACGCAATCAAGAGCCCACCAGATGGCTAGCAACTCAGTTGTGAACACAGATACTGTATGGAAATATTGATGGTTGATTGTATTTTTAATCATAAGAAAATGCGTCTCAATGTTTGTCTGTGTCCGAGAGGGAGATTTAAAATGTATTTATATTAAAAGCAACGGTTGTAGGACCTGAATAAAAGAGCCACTGGAGTGAGCAGGTCATTAAAAACCAGAGAATCAAAATAAAACACATTTATTACAATCACATTATTTATAATGTAATGTGTGGATACCATGAATAAAAAGTGTAGTATCTTTGTGGAAATGATGCTAAAGAGCTCATTATGGGTCTACCTGGAGGAAAGTGTGTGTTTGGTCTGTAAAGCTCAGCAGCTGCAGCACAGGGTCAAGACTAGGGCTGGGAATTGGAAAAAATGTGACAATTGGATAATATTGTGATGGTGAAATACTATGAGTGTCTGGATGAGCTGATAATGGATACGACGTCAACTAAGTCTTTCTGGGTCAGAAGGAACAGGCAAACTCCAGGTGTACAGTTGTTTATGGAAGAGGAGGGAACAGGTTTATTGCAGACGTAGATGGTGGATTGGGAGGTTTATGCTTTCATATGAAAGGGTTACAGGTTGAGGAGGAGTATCCAGGTACTAAGGAGGGTATAGCAGCAGGTATACGGAGGTGATGAAGATGTTTATCTGTGCTTTTCTGGAATCAACACAAAAGATCAAATGTTTATTAAAAACAGCCTTTTAGACTATGAACACAGATACACTGTAATCAATGAGTGACATTACAACCGTAGCCCACAAGGGGGCGCTCTAACTCTATAAATGGTGTTACGTGGAACTTTATAATGAAAAGGCAAACTATATGTGTAGCAGAAACGGGCTGTTCTAAACTATACACACACAGACACACATATGTACATTATCCACATATAGCAGGGCTTATTATGGAGTGCTCCTACAGTCATGCACGTGGCGCACCACGTGTTGTAGCTACAAGGAGGAAGCGGACATTAAAGTATATAAATGGAGCATAAATATAGATTGGCACATGGTACTCACTTTGCATAGACGCACACAGAACTTATACACACAGGATTATTGATGGTTGGCATGACGCACGCGCACAGGCTCCGCCCCTAACACTGTAAAGAACAGCTCTGAACATGGCTACGGGAGACCCTGGGGAACTACAATATTAACAGGTGCATCATGGGAAATGTAGTGACAGACATTTAACAGTGATATTTGTCACAATTCAATATTATTGAGATTCTTACAATATTCGACAGTTTTGTGATTTGATTCTGTGATTGATTGTGATTCATGTCCTTCATATTATTCAAAGACTTTACAAACATAGAGGAAAATAAGACTCAACTCAAATGTCATTTATTATGATCTGTTCTTGAACTGAAGCAAACACTGAGGGAAGTGCAAAAACGTGATCCTTAAACAATCAGGACACAGGAACTTAGTTTTTCTCTATTGCTTAAACACATTTCACGATACTGTCCTCCCTTTTTTCAAAACTCTAAACACAAACCTCTTTTCTAAAGCTACGTACACACAACAACACAGTCTCTTTTCAAAACCAACCCATCTCACCAAAACAGTGACTCATATTCTCTAAACCAACCCATCACACCAAAACAGTGACTCATATTCTCTAAACCAACCCATCTCACCAAAACAGTGACTCATATTCTCTAAACCAACCCATCTCACCAAAACAGTGACTCATATTCTCTAAACCAACCCATCTCACCAAAACAGTGACTCATATTCTCTAAACCAACCCATCACACCAAAACAGTGACTCATATTCTCTAAACCAACCCATCTCACCAAAACAGTGACTCATATTCTCTAAACCAACCCATCACACCAAAACAGTGACTCATATTCTCTAAACCAACCCATCACACCAAAACAGTGACTCATATTCTCTAAACCAACCCATCTCACCAAAACAGTGACTCATATTCTCTAAACCAACCCATCTCACCAAAACACCTCTCATGGTCTGCAAAAATGTGAACACTATGAGCATCATTAACCACATCACCAAAACAATTGAAAACACAATTTTCAGAATGTGACACTGTTCTTTTTACAGTTTCACAACTGCCAGGATGCATTTGAGCAACACTTTTTTAATTCTCAAATGTTTTGGGCATTTACTATAGATTTGTGCGTTTCATGAGAATAGTTACAGTACATACAGTAGAAAATGCAGTTATATCACAACTCAATGCAAACATGAGGATCCATGACACACAATAGATACTACAGTACAGTAACAATTGGGGGGGGGGCCTCCACATGCTCTGGTGCCACAGCGGACTCATTCCCATGTGACCGGCGCTGACAGGACAAGTGCGGATCTTTGGAAAACCTGTGGACGCGATAAATACAGCTGAAATAATGCATGTTGCTCCTCTCCCTCAGTGACCTGCTCCTCTCCCTCCTTGACCTGCTCCTCTCCCTCTTTGACCTGCTCCTCTCCCTCTTTGGCCTGCTCCTCTCCCTCTTTGATCTGCTCCTCTCCCTCAGTGGCCTGCTTCTCTCCCTCTTTGACCTGCTCCTCTCCCTCAGTGGCCTGCTCCTCTCCCTCTTTGGCCTGCTCCTCTCCCTCTTTGACCTGCTCCTCTCCCTCTTTGGCCTGCTCCTCTCCCTCTTTGACCTGCTCCTCTCCCTCCTCTGACACAAACTCCTCTTAAAGTTGTGGTCACATCATTTGCAGTGGTTGTGTTTTCTGAATGGCACCAGGTTTGTTCATTGTGTTCAAGTTTTGCTGACAGTGGGAGACATTTTTCATCACAAGCTTCACAATGCAAATTGGACCAGAGATACATGCAAAAAGTGTTTTAGCAAAGGCAAAAAGTGTTTTAGCAAAAGCAAAATGTGTTTAGAGTTTTGAGAAAAAGGGGATGTGTTTTGTGAACAGTGTCTAAAGGAGAATTGTGTTTATGGTTGTGAAAAGTGGGGGGTTGTTTTAATAAATGTGTTTAGACAATTGGTTATTTGGTTTAGAGTACTGGGTTTTGTGTTGTAGCAATAGAGAAAAACTGTATTACAGAAAAGTGTCATGGCCCCTCCCTGTCTGACAGGGGCGGTTCTATCTCAGGCAGGGCGGACCCAGTGATTGGGGCACCTGTGCATAAATGTGTATCTTACTAACACTCTCTCTCTGCTCCCTCCAGGTACTGGAACTTTTATTCTTTGTTTTGTCATTTGTTAAAATTAGCTTTAGTTTCACACTCAGACATATACACACATACACTGGTTTTCATTCACTGACCTGCACACACTGAACACATTCCACGGCTCACATACTCACACCTCATTCTTTATTATCTTTTGTTGTTGTCTTTATTATTTAAAATAAACATATTGAACGACCACACCTGTCTGTCCCTCAATTTGTCACAGGCCCAGAGCCAGCTTGTGACAAAAGACACAACAAACCAACATCATAGAGTCACAACAAGGAACAGAAAAGTCAAACATGAAAATGAAACACTGAACAGAATGGATTCTTTCCCCAAACCAGGAGTTAAGACTGAAGTGAGATCCTGTAGAGTCTGACTCTGGGTTCACAGGATGCAGCCTCAGCTCTGTCTCCTTCACTTTGGTCCAGATGCTTCAGACCTGCTTCAGACCTGCTTCTCTACAGGTTTTAATGTGTTTAGTAAGAGATGAACCATGAGTAAAAGACTTTCCACACTTTTCACAGACAAATGGTTTCTCTCCAGTGTGGATCCTCTGATGCACTTTGAGATGACCACTCCGAGAAAAACTCTGACCACAATCGTCGCAGCTGAAGGGTTTCTCTCCAGTGTGGATTGTTTTGTGCTGGTTAAGATGTCCTCTTTGGGAAAAAAATGTTCCACACTGGTCACACTCGTACGGATTCTTTCCAGTGTGGATTCTTTTGTGCTGGTTAAGACTTCCTCTTCGGGAAAAACATGTTCCACACTGGTCACACTCATACAGCTTCTCTCCAGTGTGGATTCTTTTGTGATCGTTAAGACTTCCTCTTCGGGAAAAACATGTTCCACACTGGTCACACTCGTACGGCTTCTCTCCAGTGTGGCTCCGATGGTGAAGTGTGCGATCTGCTGCAGTTTTAAAGGTTTTACTGCAGAAGTCACATGCAAATGGCTTTTCTCCAGTGTGGATTCTCTCATGTGCTTTGTAGGTGGAAGAGTGAGTAAACGTCTTCCCACAGTCTCCACAGACGAATGGTTTATCTCCAGTGTGGATTCTGTAGTGACGAGTGAGGTCAGATAAACGTGTAAAAGTCTTTTCACACTGGTCACATTGGTGAGGTCTCTCTCCTGTGTGGACATGCTGATGTAGTGAGAGCTGACGTTTGGTCCTAAATGTTTTTTCACACTGGTCACACTCAAATGGTTTCTCTCCTGTGTGGATCCTCTGATGAGCTTTGAGAGTACCCTCTTGTCTAAAACTCTGATCACAATCGTCGCAGCTGAAGGGTTTTTCTCCAGTGTGGATTCTGTTGTGGACCTTGAGACGTTGTTTTGTAGTAAAACATGTTCCACACAGATCACACTCGTATGGTTTTCCTCCAGTGTGAGTTCTGTGGTGTCTCTTTAGATCAGAAGCAGAGCTGCAGGTCTTTCCACACTGATCACAGGTGAACCCCATTCTGTAGATGGACTTTGTAGATCTGCAACAAACACAACAAAGACACATCAAATAATTATAATATGTTTGACATTGATGGTGGTAGAAGTGAGAAATGACAGTTATCTTTCAACATTAAACATTGCGTTCTGCAATTAAAGCTGGTTGCTCCCCACCCATGGGCTACACCCCTCACCCTGTAGAGGAGCCACTTCTACAGCCTCAGTCCTGGGTCTGCAGCCTCAGTCCTGGGTCTACAGCCTCAGTCCTGGGTCTGTTCATGTGGCTATGAACAGATATAAACTATGACGTCATACAATGAACTTTAGAAACAGAAATAGGGAAATGTACAGTCTGACATAGGGGTGCACTGGCTGATTAAGGACCACAACGACACATGTAGGATCACTGGTTGGCTTTATCTGCAGTTCTGTATAAAATAAAATAAAACTCAAATCCTCATGGTCTCTCAATATCACACGCTCGCAGTCCCCTGTTAGCAGCTAGCTCTCACATGTGACTACATAAACTACATACTCAAAACATGGATTCAAAAGTTTTCTATTTATTCAAACCGAAATCATGAAGCGTTAAACGTGACCCACCTCCTCAGACGCTAGGCGCAGACTGAGTGAGGCTCTGGGGCGCAGCGAAGGAAACACCTTTCTCTTAAAGCGACAGTACAGGATTATGGGCAACTAGGGATGTAAAAAACTATGAATTTTCATGACCGACCACCGAGCCTCATTAACTGGTTGAAACCGGTTTACCGCGCAGTTTAAAATATTCCACGTTCTTTGAAATAACAGCCATTTTGAGCCGCGTACTTTCCATAAGAGCAGCTATGCGTTCTACTGGATCAGAGCCGAGACAGCGGCGCCAAAACCCGCAACAGCTTCGGCTCCTTTGCGCACAGAGAACTGCTTTTTTAATCTTCCCATACTTCTGTGCTGCGGGTTAAAGCTTTTTTAAGCAAAAGACGGTTCGTTCACATGGTCAGAGCAGTGAGTGACACGTCTCGCAGGTCTCCGCTAACGTTTAAAAGTGATGTGTGTGGAGCTGATCTAATGCCAAGGACCAGCAGCACAAACATGTTTCATGTGGTTTGACTCGAGCCGCGTATTTGCAAGGATTCCTTTGGGCTGTGTGATACAGAGGAGCGCGACAGACCGGTATGTGTGTGTGTACAATACATGTATGTGTGTGTAAATATAAGCTCCAATGTAGTCCTGACCCGCACCAGTATGCAACTAGCAGGCGGTAACAGAGGGGAGAGATGATGCGTGTGGATGTTACGTATCAATGGAGGGGGGAAAGTGTGTGTGTGTGTGTGCGCGTGCGGCGTGAGAGTTGGCCCGGAGTTTACTGATACATTGGCGCACACAGCTAGATATGGACCCGCTCGTTACACCGTGCAAATAGGGCTTAAAATAGCGTTATGAAGAGACCTCCCCCCTCCCCTTTTTCTCTTTTTTAACCGACAGCTTTGACCGGTTAACGCTGTGACGGTCAACCACCGGTTAAACGGTCACCGATTTACATCCCTATGTGCAGTGCCGGCGTGGCTAATCGGGAGAGCCAGGAGATTTCCCGGTGGGCCGGTTGGGCTAAGGGCCGGTGGGCTGGATGTTGTATGTTGCTGGTTGGACTTGGCCGGCGGCCATGCTTTCCTGACACCGCTGCTCACTGCAGCCTTCTCGGACCTGTAAACAGCACGCACACTTCTGGCTAGTCTCATTTGGCCGCTTTCATTGGTTACGATGTGTTCTGCTACGGCCTGGTTGGTTGTCTGTAGATTGTAGGCGGGACTAACAGAGAGCGCGGGGCCAAAGATCAGGTTGAATGACAGATAGACCTGAAGCAAGTGCAGTTACTCACTGGCCTGACATCTGACGCGAGTGTTTGTAAAATGGAACGGACAAAATCAAGGGCGGAGCAGAAAAGATAAGAATAAAAAAAGGAAAGCTCTTGAAGCTGAAGCAGCCAAATGTGCAAAGTTGGTAGTTTTTTCTATAAAAAGTGCTCCGCCGATGAAGAGGCATCAGACCGCGGTAAGCTAGGAAAAAAACATGCAAAACACTGTGGCAAAACATGACGACGTCCATCCATCCATCCATTTTCTTCCGCTTTATCCGTTGCCGGGTCGCGGGGGCAGCATTCTAAGCAGAGACGCCCAGACTTCCCTATCCACACACACTTCCTCCAGCTCGTCCGGGGGGACCCCAAGGCGTTCCCAGACCAGCTGGGAGACATAGTCCCTCCAGCGTGTCCTAGGTCTTCCCCGGGGCCTCCTCCCGGTGGGGCGTGCCCGGAACACCTCCCCAGGGAGGCATCCAGGAGGCATCCGGAACAGATGCCCGAGCCACCTCAACTGGTTCCTCTCGACGTGGAGAAGCAGCGGCTCTACTCCGAGCTCCTCCCGTGTGACTGAGCTCCTCACCCTATCTCTAAGGGAGCGCCCAGCCACTCTGCGGAGGAAGCTCATTTCGACCGCTTGTATCCGCGATCTCGTTCTTTTGGTCATTACCCAAAGCTCATGACCATAGGTGAGGGAGGGAACGAAGATTAACCGGTAAATCGAGAGCTTCGCCTTTCGGCTCAGCTCCCTCTTTACCACAACGGCCCGATACAGCGACCGCATCACTGCGCACGCTGCACCAATCCGCCTGTCAATCTCACGCTCCATTCTTCCCTCACTCGTGAACAAGACCCCGAGATACTTGAACTCCTGCACTTGAGGAAGGACCTCTCCACCCACCTGTAGAGGGCAAGGCACCTTTTTCCGGTCGAGCACCATGGCCTCGGATTTGGAGGTGCTGATTCTCATCCCAGCCGCTTCACAATCCGTGAAGGCCTCGGCTGCAATCCGTCCCAGTGCATGCTGCAGGTCCTGGTTCGTTGGAGCCAACAGGACAACATCGTCCGCAAACAGCAGAGATGAAATCCTGTGGTCTCCGAACCGGACCCCCTCCGACCCCTGGCTGCGCCTCGAAATTCTGTCCATAAACACAGTGAACAGAACCGGTGACAAAGGGCAGCCCTGTCGGGGGCAACATTCACCGGGAACAGGTCTGACTTACTGCCGGCAATGCGAACACAGCTCTGGCTCCGGTCATACAGGGATCGGACGGCCCTCAGCAGAGGACCTCAGACCCCGTACTCCCGGAGAACCCCCCAAAGGACACCCCGGGGAACACAGTCGAACGCCTTCTCCAAATCCACAAAGCACATGTGGACAGGTTGGGCGAACTCCCATGAACCCTCGAGTATCCGATGGAGAGTATAGAGCTGGTCCAGTGTTCCGCGACCGGGACGAAAGCCACACTGCTCCTCCTGAATCCGAGATTTGACCATCGGCCGTAGCCTCCTCTCCAGTACCTTGGAGTAGACCTTACCGGGGAGGCTGAGGAGTGTAATCCCACGATAATTGGAACACACCTTCCGGTCCCCCTTCTTGTAGAGAAGGACCACCACCCCGGTCTGCCACTCCATTGGCACCGCCCCCGATCGCCACGCAATGTTGCAGAGACGTGTCAGCCAAGACAGTCCTACAACATCCAGAGACTTTAGATAATCAGGACGGATCTCATCCACACCCGGAGCCTTGCCACCATGGAGGCTGCCAACCGACCTCAGCCAGGGAGATGGATGTATCTGCCCCAACATCCTC